ATACTTTGGACATGTTGCCAGGAGGGACGGGTCCTTGGAGAGGGACATCATGCTTGGGAGGGTGGAGGGACAGCGCAGGAGGGGCAGACCCTCTATGAGATGGATTGATTCTGTGAGTGGGATAATGGAGATGGGTGTGTCAGAGGCAGTGAGGTTGGCGCAGGATAGAGCAGAGTTTAGGGCTGTTGTGCATAGGGTCGCTATGAGTCGCAAACGACTCGACAGCATATAACAACAACAGCAATAACAGGTCAAAGACTTAAATAACATTAAAAAGTCTCTGCAAACAGCTTTATAAATACCATTGTCAACAAAATACATTCCTTTTGTACCTTCTGCTGTACTGAAGGGTAGGCAGGAAACATTCTTGGTGGAATAAAAGATAAATGGAAAATTTCCTCTGAAGACATCCTTTTGCCTAAGATTGTGATAAATAAGAAAGCGATGTCATAGTTTCTTAGAGAACAAGGCAGAATTTATTTAGTCAAATTATTTTACAACATAGACTTCATTGAAAATTGTCAGCTTAACAGTTAATATAGTTTAAAAAGTCAGTGATTACCTGAAAATTATATATATTTTCATATCTAAAAATATATTGCATATATAGAGCAAGAATATCCCTTGGACCCACAAGGGACAGTTTGGTTATTTTCCTTTTTTCAGATTGTTATTCTTGTTGTCCTTTTATTTACAATCTCTTCCAAGCATTACAGATTTGAATGGAGTGCTTCACTTCTTCCTTTATATAACTGTATATAACTCTACCAGTGCTTTTCTTTCTAGTAAGTCAGAGACTAAAATGTTCTGTTTTCTTTTCCACAATAGTTACATTATGCTTTTAAAAAACAACAATAAGGCAAACCAGGTATAAAACGTACAAACAGCCCAAATGTACAGATTGACAAAAGATGTACAAATTACATTTAAAAAAATAACAGCTGATTTGATAGTAAAATTGCATTTGTGACCGAGGTCAACTCGTTTATTTATTCTTTTAAATTTTTATTTACTTATTTTTTAATACTGTGAGATATAGCAAAATAACTCTGCATAATTTATACAGTAAGTTGCCTTCTGTTTGGTTGACCCCGGACTGGTGGTCTGACAAACGCACAGCGCTTGCGAATCTGGTTGTGTTTAGAAATCCCTAGGACTCTTCCAAGTTCTGGGACCTACTGTCATTATTTAAAAAAAAAAAAAAAAGCCATTTCTTTCTCTGTCTTTCAGTAATGTCTGTGTCTGCATTAAAGTTTTGTAGTTTTTATATTGACTATTTCTAGAGTGAGTGGTCAGCCTAGTGCATTTTGCCCACTGAAGAACTCTGCAATGCCCATGGCTTCTTAAATACACCTGTGTTCATTCTTCACCATTCCAGTTGAGGTCTTACTGGCCTTACAGCCAATGTTCCAGTTGTCATTCACTGAATCAAGTCCCTCTAAAATAATAAGTTTCCTGACTCATTTTTTTTACTGTCTTAAACCATAATATAATTGGATATGTCTATGTTATCATACTGAACCCCCACAAGTTCCATGATGAGACCCGTGTGTCATTCAAGAAACAGCTTTGGTTATGGTCATAAAAATATAAAGAGATTTTTACAGTTTCTTGCTGAGAACCACACACACAAAAAATATCATTGCAGTAATCTTAATGTTTAATTCATAAGATGATAGAAGATTGAGAATCCAAAGTGGAGTACTGGCCCATGGAATTCCATCGCTCTGATGAAACAGAGGAAGCAAAAATACCAACATTAAAAAAAAACTGTTTTCAAAGAACAAATACAAAGGTTTTCCAACAAGAAAGAACATCCAGTTTTGTTTTCTGATCAAGGCCACGTATGTCCTTTAGAGTCCAATGTGTCCCGAGAGGGCGAGGGAGAGGGTTTTGGCTGAAGGGCTGCCGAGGATTAAGCTTCTAGTAGTAGCTGCCTAAGTGTGAGGGTACGTGGGTATTAGGGTGCCGGGGGACATTGGGGTTGGGGTAGATTCCACCAGTGGGGGAGGTCCAGTATTGTGATGCTGCTCCAAAGAAGCTGGAGGAAGTGACTGGCATTGAAGAAGGGTGTGGGGGGACGAAGTTCACCTTCTGTTGGTGGGTGTGGTAGGAAGGCATGTAGGGGATATCAGAAGGGTACTTGTACATGGACGACTCAGTCGGATGTGGCTGCAGGGCCTGGGCGATGCCGTGGAAGTCAAATTTGTAGGCATACCTTTTGCCGTGAACTTTGGTCATAATGTTTTTGTCATAGTAATATCGAAGGGCCCGGCTCAGCTTGTCATAATTCATGTTGGGCTTGCTCTTCCGCTCCCCCCAGCGCCTGGCCACCTCGTCGGGGTCTGTCATTTTGAACTCCCCATTGGTGCCCTCCCAGGTAATACAGCTGGCGTTGGCACTATCAGAGAGCAGCTCAAGGAGGAATTGCCACAGCTGGATCTGTCCACTTCCTGCAGGCAGGGAGGCAGACAGGAGAAAAAGAAATCTCAGCCGGGAGAAGTCACAACTCAATTCCCTCACAAAGGGACTACTCATACATTCTTAGACTCAATCTACTTGGTAATCTTGTTCCATTGTTTATTTGCTTGTCTGCTTGCTACTGTGATTAAATAATATGGCTGTCAAATTTATTTCCACTTCTGGCAGCCTCACATGTGTTCTAGCAGAACTGTGTCTGAGCTATCAGAAGTAATTTTCAGACTTTCCGTCTGAGGTACTCCTTGGTAGTTGCTAACCTCCATTCTTTGAGTCGAGAGATGAGCACCTGAATTGTCTGTACCACTCAGAGAGTTCCAGTTTGTGCTAAGGGCTAGTAAAAGTGGGACTTCGAAGGAGATGCTTGCTTTACTTGGAACTAGCTGTGTGACTTGAGAAAATTACCCTCTCTCCTTTTGGCAATTGTTTAAAATCTCTTCTTGTAGGAAAGGCTAAACAACTATCTAGTCTTTACTTGGTGATGTCTCCCCAGGTCTTCCCTGGAAGTCTTAGAAAGCTGCTGGTCAGGTCCTGAAAGCAATGTCAGAGCTGCAGGGGTGTGATGTGGACATAGGCCTGATTACATCTTAGCAAGCTGAGTGCGTAGCTTCCCGGTATAGAATACAAAAGAGCCAGAGCTGCGTGGTGTGTCCTCACTCAGCAGCAAGAGTCAGAGATCAAAGAATGAGCTGAGAGACCCTGACAGAACTCCATTAACTGATAAATGAAGATGCTTATTATTTCAAAGGGTCTCATATTTTTGACAGTCTCATTTTAGAAGAACACACCTGAAGGTAAAGTACATTGTCACAGTTACTTCCTAACTTCTTGGAGACATCCCTCTTTCATAAGGCCAAGTAAAATCACAAAATAAAAAATTTATTTTAAAATTTAAAAAATGGAGCACTTTCTAAAGTTAAAAGTAAAACACTTTTGCAAGATTATTTACTTATTTCTTGCCTTCGGGAGGTAACTGACAGCTCACTGGAAGTGTCTCCTTTCTCCCCATCTTCTACTGAAATGTTACTTAACGTGTCTTACTGCTAATAGGTCATCAGTGGCACATAATCAGTGCCGTTATAGTATCCAAAAACATCCTCAGCTGAAGGACATTGCTACTTGATAACTAGCCCAGCCTCTCATTTGTAAATTATTGAGCACATGCTGAGAGTACATTTCAAGGAGTTAAGTCTGTGCTTTTTTCCCCAATCATGTGTCTGAACTTAGGATAACGATTTCAGTGACCTCACAAAGTGATGGAATATTCTGGGAAAAGCATTTTCAAGTTAAGGGGAACTTACCGGGGTTAGCTAGGCGACTGCTTGTAGGGCCCAGGATCTGGTATGGATCTATGAAAACCAAAAGGGAAATTTGTTTCAACCGTCTTCCCACATGTGAAAACAACAGCATCAATAGTAACAAATCCCTAAGAGTTTATATTTTAACTTCAATATCAAGACTTTTTCTGAAAAGCCTGAGTTCAGAAAACTCTATTGCTTTCACACCAGAGGGTTATGATCACAGTTAATGGTCCTCATCCAATAATCACATGAACAATGTTAGATAATAATGATGTCTCTTTATTCATATGAATTTCTTAAGAATTTACACCTTTGTTGGAGAAGATCACTGAACATCCCATAGACGGCCAAAAGAACAAACAGCTATGTCTTAGATTGGGTGTGTGCAGCTGCAGTGCTCATTAGAGGCAAGAATAATGAGGCTTCGTCTCCCACACTTTGGACATGTTGCTAGGAGGGGCTATTCCTTGGAGATGCTGGGAAGGGTGGAGGGTCAGCAAAGGAGAGGAAGACCATTGACCAGGTGGACTGATACGGTGACTGCTGCAGTGAGTTCTTGTTTATCAGAAAGTGTGAGGATGGCACAGGATAGAATAGGGTTCAGATCTTTGTTCATAGGGTTGCTATGAGTTGTGCTTAAGTAGACAGAACCTAACAACAACAACAACAAACTAACTTTTATAATTAATGTTGTCATTGCCCAAAACAAAGTAATGAAAATGCTTGGAAAGGCCCCAGCTAGTGGCCAATGACATAATAAAATAAATAGAATCCTAGCTTATTCAGTGGGCTTAGACAAAGTCTGGTAAAGATGATTTCTCTGACGGAGCATATAGAATCTATGACTGGAAATATGTAGCTTGTGTTCTAATCTCAGTTATGCCAATAAAATAACACTGGATATCAGTTTCCTCATTTGCAAAATGAGTGGGTTGGACAATTGAATTCTTCAGGTTCCTTCTTGTACAACATCCTGGTATGTTAAGTCTGGAAATGCCCACACTAACTAAAATTTTTATTTTTAGCTATAAAATGACTGTTCTTAAAATCTCAGCTTACTTACAACGTACACTAATTATTTAGCCATAAGAATATTTTGTAACATTGGTCAAGAAGAGATTTGTCTACTTTTGTTCAGTTCAAAATTAGAGAGCTGAATCTTAATTTGAAATGTCAAATATCTTGTGACATTTTCCTACAGGAATTTTTTAATCAATATAACTTTCTGGTTAGAATCATCCTCAAGACAATTTGTCCCATTCTTTCATCTTCACTGTATGACAGTGAACTATTTTAGATGCTAATTTTGCTGTTGTTAGAGAGTTTTTAGAACCCTGTAAATGAGAATTGTCATGTGTTAAGAAGTTCTTAATATTTCTGTGAAAGTGCAGGTCCATTTTCTTTTGTTCTGATTTCAGTAGAAATAGAGAATGATGCTTGTCCTTCCCAAAGAGAATGGTTGGTTCAGAATCTTCCTCTCACATAGTTATATAACATCTGTCCGAAGACAGAGGGTAGCTGGGACTCAGAGGTGTGCATGTAGTCACCTTCAGACAGATGAAGGGCATTCTATGGGAAGGGAAAGAGAATCCTCCTGAAGGAAAAAGTAAGAAGTTTGAATGGACATTATAAGGAGATGAGTCTGGACTTAGATAGTCGTAGTAAGCTTAGCTAGACAGCAAACTTCCAGTGTTTAGGTATTCAAGTAGAAAGGAGAGAATCATAGGAATGAGATGTCATAGACGAAGTTATACACCTCTGTATCTGTATATTCTCTCTCAAGCTTATGGATATAAAATCTCTTTGTCTTAATTGTTAGTCATAACCATCACAAGGAGAAAGTAGGGTTTGGTGATGCATAAAGGGTTTGGGTAGGAGTTTGGATACCTGAGCTTATAGTTCCGGTTCCCTCAAAACTCAGCCTCATGACTTTTTAGAAAATCACCACTTTACTTCTTCGAGCCTCAGTTTCATTATGTGACAAAGAGAGTCACGGGAATATTTAAGGTATAAGTTCATTTCATTTCTGATATTTAGCAAGTCTCTACCTGATTACAGGATCTCTTACTTGATTCATGTTTTGACTACAGGGAAGTGACAAATGCAGTACATTGTTTCCATCCTATGTCAGCTGACCACTGGCATCAATAACTATACAAAAAGCAAGGGGGACTGCACACTGCTGGACAGCTACCTGGTTGAGGCCGCTGTTCAGTATTCTTACTCATCGATTGTGCCCCTCCAAGGGGAGGACCTGGAGAAAGAGAAAGAGAAATAGGATTAGTGGGGCCCTTTTCTGTTAAAGAAGAGAGAAACTTTATCAAATGCTCTTTAAGGGACTAACTTACTTTCTCATTCATTCTTTGAATCATACATCTATTCATAAATATTTTTCTAAAATCTGCTATGTGCTGGCACTTTTCGTTTGTGGTTATTGTTAGGTGCCACAGAAATTAGTTCGACTCATAGAGACCCTATGAACAAAAGTTCTGAAACCTGTTCTATCTTGTGCCATCCTCACAATCTCTGACACACTTGAGCCCATTACTGTTGTCACCATGTCAATCCATCTCATTGAAAGTACCCTTCACCTTCACTGATTCTCCTTTCCTGGCATGATATCCCTTCCCAATAAACAGAAGAAAAGCTTCTAGCAACATGCCCAAAGTATAAGAGACAAAGCTTCACCATCCAAATGCTCCAAGGAGCACTTCAGCTTGCACTTTTTCCAAGATATATATGCTTGTTCTTTTGGCAGTCCATAGGACATTCAATGCTTTTCTCCAACAAAGGTATAAATTCTTACTCTGTCATCCTTAGTCATCTTATAGTTCTCAGACTCATAAGTGATTGAACAGACCATGACCTGGATCAGGTGCATCTTAGTCTTCAAACTGTTATTACTGCCCCTTAGTAGTTTGGAGAAGTTCTAGACAATGTTACCTGATGTCTTGATTGCTGGTACTAAAGGTGTTGATTGTGGATCCAAGTAGGATGAAATTGTTGACAATTTAAATCTTTTCTTCATTAATCATGATGTTACTTATTGGTGCAGTGGTAAGGATTTTTGTCTTCTTGATTTTGAGGTGTAACCCATATTGAAGGCTGTAGTCCTCATCACTTTCAGCAAGTAAGGTTATTTTCATCTGCATAATGCAGGTTGTTGGTAAGTCTCCTATCCTGATGCCACATTCATCTTCATAGTATCCAGCTTCTTAAATGACTTGTTTAGCATATGGATTAAATATGTCTGAAGAAAAGACACAACCCTGACATACACCTTTCCTGATTTTTTTTTCTAATACAACACATTTTTTTTTATTTTCTTGACTGCTGCTACTATATAGGTGTTGATTGTGGATCCAAATAAAATGAAACAATTGCCGACTTCAATCTTTTTTTTTTAACCTGTCATGATGTCGCTTATTGATTCAGAGATGAGAATTTTTTTATACTAGTTTATTTATAAAATTCTAATACATTGTTTTTAAGAACAGATTCTTCCAATTTCCCTCAGCCCCTGATTTTAAACCATGAGATGTTCCCTTGTTCCTTTCGGACAACAGCCTCTTGGTTTAGGTCTAGGTTTCTCACGAGCACAATTACATGTTCTGAGTTCCCCATTCTTCTCAATGTTAGCCGTACTTTGTAATGAGCCACAGAGGCACTTTTCTAGATGGTAGGAATTCAGCAATGAAGTAGTTCCTGATGGAACTTAGCTTTTAATGGGGGCAATACAGTGATCAAAGACTGAAGCATGTAGTGATAGCATGTTTGATAGCACTGAGGCTGTGGATTTAATTTGTAAGTAACAATCAAGATGTCCTCAATGAGAACATAATATTTGTGCAAGGATCATCTATCTACTTCCGGTGTTATCCTTCCCATAAATTTCATCTACTCCCATTGCCTCTTCTTTTTCCCCCCACTTATTCATATTTATCTTTTTGTTGTGACTGTTGGGAATACACACAGCAAAAAAATCCACTAATTAAAATTTCTATTGAAATAACAATGACTACATTTTTCAAGTTGTACCACTATTTTTACTCTCATTTTCCAAATGTTCCTCTCCCATTATCATCATCTTACTTAAGAGTCTGACTGATCTTTTGAGTTGCTGTTATCAATTTGATCCCATATCTATGTTGTTGTTGTTGTTGTTTTGTGTCGTAAAGTCGTTTGTGACTCATAGGGACCCTATGTACAACAGCCCTAATCTCTGCTCTATCCTGTGCCAATCGCACTGTCTCTGATACACCCATCCCGATTACCCCAGTCACTGAATCAATCCACCTCATAGAGGGCCTTCCCGTCCTTGATGTCCCTCTCCAAGGACCAGTCACTCCTTACAACATGTCTAAAGTATGTTAGATGGAGCCTCAGATCTTTGCCTAATGCTCAAGGCAAGTGCTCTTTACTAGTTAAGTTAAACTACTGTTTGGTTTCAAGAAAATTTTAGGGGATATTTTTGGTTTAAGGCTTAAAGGTTATTTTAAGGTAACAGTTTTGGGATTTATCCCACCTACATGACTGGATTGCAAGAAAATTTGAAATTTGTTCTTAATGTTCCCTCTTCTGATCAAGATTCTTCTAGAACCTTCTCTCACAATGTTTAGTGGTAGAGCCAGGAACCATCAGTTCTTTAGTTCTCACAGCAAAGGAGATAGTTTTTTATGGAGACAATTACCTACATACTTCATTTTCTCCTCCTATTCCTGAATTTCCTTTTCCAACTGTTGCTCCAGCTGAACAGAGATCAACTTTTTTGTCTTAAGTAGCTGCTTGCATGCTTTTAAGACCCAGGTACTTAAATTAGTAAGTATAACAGAAGTATTAAATGGGTTATTAGACTAATTAACTAGAATGTCCCATGAGTTTAAATTTATAGTGATAAAAATTTGTATTAAGGATGAGATTGCACAATCAATTAATGTAATCATTGTTAAAATTATATACCAATAAACAGTTCAACTGGAAAAATGGATTTACAGTAATGACAAAAAAATAAAAAATTGAAAAGGCTGCTTATGTATAACCAAACCCTCATAGGATTTGATGCTTCTATTTGGATGTTTAGACTTTTGTCTAATTTTAGATCATTATTCCTTCTGGCATAGTCTGTGACTTTATCTAACTGTTATCTTCAATGTCCCTCTTATTTCTCATCAACCTATCTATCATATGTTATTTGGCTGTTTAATCCCCCTGAGCCATTTTACTCTCCTGTTTGTTGAATAACCTTTGATGACTCCTCATTGACTCTAATTCAGATCTATCTTTTTAGTGCCCTTTAGGATTGATTCAGTTTGTATTGACCTTTCTAGACTTCTTTGTTTGCACATAGCCTGAACTCCAACAACTTAGAATCATAACTTACTCTTGATATGTGCAGGATTTTTAGATATGACCCCAGCCCACACTTTTGCTGGTACTTTTTCCAACCACACAGGCCAAGTCCTCCTTCTCCCAGCACTAACTGTCCAAAGTTAACTCAAATTATTCTGAGGCCACAAGACCAACCTGATAGCACCTATAATTCTTAAAACAGTTGTCTGCGTACATGACTCCCCTTAGGGGCCAGTCCACGTTGGATTCATCTTTATAATCTGAATAGTGCTAAGCACTGTGTGCAGAGAAGGCAATTAATGCATGTTATTGAAAGGGGGGTTGGTTATTGGGCGTTAATGTGTGGTCCTTGGAAGCAAAGATGATGAAGCTTTGTCTCACATACTTGGGCATGTTTCTGGGAGAGATTATTTCTTCTTGTTGTCTTTATGTGCCGTCGAGGTGCTTGCAACTCATAGAGACCCTATATACAACAGCCCTAAACTCTGCTCTGTCCTGTGCCAATCGCACTGTCTCCAATATACCCATTCCGATTACCCCGGTGGCAAAAGAGAGGAAGATACTCAACCAAGTGGGTTGACATTGACATGGTAACTGTGGGAATGGGTTGAATGTATCAGAGATTGTGAGGATGGCATGGATTAGAACAGTGCTCCGAACGAACAGTTTTTCATAGGGTTGCTACGAGTCATACTTGATTCACTGACACCTAACAAAAACAATGTGTAACTCATACTTTCTCTTGAAGGAATTCTATTCACCACCTATTCATGATCATGTTCTTGACTCTTTACCTAAGAACATGTTTTTTCTCCTAAGGAATATAGCTTGTACTCACTCTTGTTGAGACCAGAATTCATGTTATTGCCCCATCCTCCTCTCCTGGTTGAGTCATAAGAAGGATCTAATGAAAACAACAAATAGAGGTACATCATCATCACCTGTTCTTCAAAAAGTTTTCATGAAAATTCCTTTTTCATGATGAGGAGAAATAAAATCAGTGATATTTTGTAAGCATCACGTAACTCTAGAAGCATACTCCTACTTCACAGGTGGGGGCAAAAAATTTAGAAGGAAATCAACTGTGATGTGTAGATTATTTCAGTATTATATGGGAATTGGGGTAATGGGAATAATCCGGTATTTGAACTTGGAGAATTGGTTCAAATACTAAGGGAAATGAATAAGTAAGACTTCTTTAAGCTTCCAGTTTCTTTAATACAAAAATTTTTTTAAAAATTGGTCATTTAACTATGAGGTTGTGGTAATGATCAAATAAGTACACATTTTACGCAAGTTCTCACAACTAAGCCAACACACAGCATCATGGTAACAAATGAGTAAAGCTGTCAACAATTTAATTTTACTTGGGTCTACAATAAACACTAATGGAAATAGCAAATGATGTGCTTAAATGGATAAATCTGATGCCAAGGACATCTATTAAGTATGTAAGGACAGGTAAATTAAGGAGTAAAGTGTGCCTGATCCATGTCATGATATTTCAGATGCATTTGATTCATATGCATGTATGCTGAACAATGGTTAAGGAAGATCTAAGCAGCTTAGATGCTTTTTAACTGTGGTGCTGGTAAAGAGTGCTTAATTGTGGTGTTAGCCTAAAAGGCGGCTTTTTAACCATTTCAGTTAGCCACCTCTGGTCTCCAGCTACCATAACTGTAGACACATGGTCCTGTAAATCATCAACAACTACGAAACAAGGATAAGAGAAAGTATGTGTTTTCACATACTGGATAGCAAGATTTGGGATAAACAAGACTTATAGCAGCAAGACTTGAGAGAGACTGAAGCAAGACCCTGGTGATGATGGTAGAGAGACTGTAGCATTGCTGGGGAGAAACTGTGACAAGGTATAACCAGAGAAGTCTTGAAATAAAGGCTACAGTTACAGGATTTTGCTGTTATTGCTTTTGATAATGGAAGAAAAAGTTGCTTGCTAACTGAAATTGGAGCCTGGACTAATTGAGGAGTTGTGCCTTGGGACTGCTTGGCTAAAATTTGGATTTGTATTGAGTGATATTCTTTGCTTTCCTCACTCTCCAACTTCTTCCCTAATAAATTCTATTGTTGGTAGAATAATTGTCAGTCTGTGAGTCAGCAATGAATAACCAAATCTCTTGAGGCATCATAGGTCTGAGCGACAGGCTCTTTATCTGCTTTCTTCTTTGGGGCAGTGAAAGGCTGTGTTATTCTTACTTCCTCTGGATCTTTCAGAGAGATGCGTATGCTCCGGTGCCACTATGTGCCATTTTCTCCTATTCAGACATGGAAAAACCATGGGCAACCAGAAGAATGAATAAGTCTATCTTAGAAAAGTGTATCCTTGGAAGTGAGGCTTCTGTATATTGTAAGTTGAACATGATGTCAGAAGGGCCAATCCATCGAGAGGAATATCATATTCAGAAAATTTGAGAGTCAGTGAAAAAGAAGAAGAACTTCAAGAAGATAAACTGATACATTGACTTTAACAATAGGCGTAAACACAGCAGTGATTTTCAGATTATTGAAAGCCAACTCTATGGCACCTAACAATAACAAACACAAAACCAGAGAGGCAAAAAAAAAGGTTTACAGATGTGTAGAAAGAAAAAAAAAATTCCAAGCAGCTCTGAGAAGAGAGGAATGTGACACCAGGGCTGAATATCTACAAGTTCAGGACTAGATAGCTCCTGGGAGAACGCTGCCAGTCCTGTGTCTGAGCATACGATGTTGTGAGTATCATCCTGTGTCCAAGCACACAAAGCTGTGAGTACTGTCTTGTGTCCAAGCACACGATGCTGTGAGCAGCATTTCTCAGTATGAGCACTGTCCACTGTCTGAGCACCGATGCTGTGAGCACCCAATGCTGTGAGCACCATTCTGTGTCTGAGTACCTGATGCTGGCCACTGTCCAGATGCTGTGAGCACCATCCTGTGTCTGAGCACACAGATGGTAAGCATCATCTCCCAATGTGAGCACAGATCCCTTAGAGAAAGGAAAAGAGCTAGAGACCTGGGGGGAAATGTGGCTGACTCAAGACACAAGTGGAAAGTGGTTTTTCCCACCTGGAAGTGACTAGAGGTGTTCCTTCAGAGTATCCTACAGAATTCGGCACTGAATCTCTCTGCTTGTGACCCCAGCTTTTCTCTTGAAAGCATATAGTTGCCCACATGATATGTTAACATTTACTACACTAGCTGGCTGGAAATATTGTTCTTTTCCTGTCTCGTGGGGTGAGACCCACTGAGACACTGTGCCGGGACAGCAGAAGAATTGAAGGACATAGAATTATGACTTTCAAAGTCTTTCCATGAACAACAAAGAAACCATAAAAACCATCCAAACAAATGGAGAACAAACCTCATCAAACAGCAGTATGACAGGGTGAAACACAAACCATTCCCTTCAGCCTCATCCTGAGCCTCTCAGACAAATTAGAATGAGAGAGGAAGATGGATGGGTTCTGCTGAGTGTCTGTCCGCATAGTTTCTGGCTAAGAACAACCCAAGAGACAAGGGCAATTTTCTTGTGGAAAAATCCACGTGCAGATGCACATTTTTCATGGTTCTGGAAAAGCCAGTTCAGTTTTTAAATTACAGTCTTTAGCAACTGGCATGAAAAACAAAACAAAAAATAAGGGGGATGGGATTGGGAAGATGGGCAGAGAAGGGGGAAAAGAGAGACCAAGTTCAACTCAGGGAACTGGCCTGTTTGTAGCTAGCTAGCGTGCTCTCTCTCTCTCTCTCTCTCTCTCACACACACACACACACACACACACACACACACAGAGTTTTTCCAACAAATAGATTCTTTATATTAATAAAAGCAAACAATAAAACCCACTTGTTTACGAACTTTGGATAGAGTTCTGGTGGTATTTTCAGGACATCTCACGTAGGCCTCAGTGAGTGCTGTGCTGGGATAAGATCAAGCAAGGAGAGGTGAGAGTCTCCTGTGAGCTTTCCCTCCGGGTAGGGTTGACAGTTAAGCCTCCAGTAACTCATGGGAGTTGACTTCTTCAATGCATGGTGTTCTTGGCTTTACAGTGGGTATGAGGCAATATAAAACAAGCTGTCTATGTTCAACTAATGGCAAATACTAAGATTGTGAGGAAATGTGGACCATGTGCTAAAGGGTAAGGACTATTAAAGGCTAAGGTAGGAGAGTGCTACTGTAACAGTAAGTAACTCTCAGGCCCTGTGACTTTAGTCAGCAGGAGGCTGGGCCATGCATAAGCTGGTTTGTGAGAATGAGGAAGTAATATGTGGAGGCCAATTTGGGTGGAGTTGCACAATTAGAGAGAGGAGACTGGAGTAGCTACACAGGAGTGGGTGGTCTCAGCACTAGAGGCTGTGAGAAATCCAGGGAAGATAGGAAGGACTTCAGGATATAATAAAACAGGGTGTGGTAGAGAATTCATCTTACTGTGGAGTGCAGGATGGATAAAAGAGCCCAGGAGAAGGAGGCAGTGTTAGTAGGAACAGTTAGTAGAAAACTGCTGTGACCATTCAGAAGAAGTGTTTCTTGGCCCATGTCATGGCCAAGACTAGAGCCATCAGATTTCACGTCAACTTTTCTTCTTAATATTTTGCTCCTGGTTCAGAGCAGGCATAGAAAAGATACAAAATAAGTAAAAGACTTCCTTCTAGCCACCAGGGTGACCAACCCAGTGGATTTCCTTAAATAAAGTTTGAGGTTGATGCCTGATCAGAGAAGCAGCTGGCAGCCCTGATCCTGTGTAGCAGAGGAGAAACAGCTTCCTGAGGTTCTTCTCTTAGGCTACCTCAGATGCGAGCCTCACTGAGAGAACTTCAGATGTCACCTGAAGCCCATGGGTGAGTGAAAAAGGAAGCGACAGAAACAAAGAGGTTAGCCAGCTACCAGCCTCTGTTTTCACTGTGAATTTAATTGAGCAGTAAACAGCAGCAGCATCAACTGGAGGCTTCAGTGAGCAGGAACAGAGCATGGTGTGATGTCCAGACAACAAAGACTTTGCCTCCCATCTCCTCATGCCCCACCCTCACTAACCTCCTTTGCATTCACACCTGCTTACAAAGAAAATCTTATCTCTGGCAATTGAATCTACTGAGGACAGCCTGGGCCCATGTACTCTGGGGTAAACATTGTACTCTGCTGCCTCTGGGATTCTTGGGGACATCTACCTAGGGTGAGATTTAAATTCAAACCACTACTTTTGGAGTGATTCTTGATCCAAAGACAAAGTACAAAGTTAAAGAAGTCTAAGAATTAAAGTCTAGCATTTCTGTATTAAAGGTAAGCTAGGTTAAATGAGATATTCATGAACATCCCTGTACACAGCAGTGTCTGGTCTCCAGCCTTTGTAAACGGCTGTAATGTAAATGAATTATGTATGTAGAAAGGACACAACCCTGATGCACACCTTTTCTGATTTAAAATCAGTCAGTACTCCCTTGTTCTGTTTGGGCAACTGCTTCATTTTCTATGTCTCAGTTTTGCATAAGCACAATTCCTCCAGTTCACTGGAGGAAGTACTGTTCACTCTATCAACAGCTGGAAAGAATTCCATTTTACTACCCCAATTTACTGCACTAAACTCCTTCTCTAGATGATTTAATTCTGAGGTCATGAAGAATGAGAAAAATAATCCCATACGTCCCCACAGAGTATTTACTGTTATTAGATATAGTCATGTCAGCTCCATCTCTGGTGACCTTATGCACAACTGAATGATACCCTGCCAAGACCTGCACTATCCTCATCCTCACTGCTGTGCTTTAAGCTCATTGTGGCAGCCTCTGCGCCAACCCATGTCTTTGAAAATCTTCTTCCCTCAAAGACCTTTGCTTTCATTGACCTTCACTTTTCCAAACACAATGTCCCTCTTCAGGGATTGGTACCTCTGGATAACATGCTCAAATATG